CATCAGTATAATTTTAAAATGAAATTCACTTTTCACTAGTCTACTTTCTGTGAATATTATTTATTTCAATCTTTCATAATCACATTTCTACAGAAAAATCAAGTACAAATATTTTAGTTTGAATAGAAATATTGCTTCCAAATACTACATTTGAATATTACAAATCCATGAAGTGTCTTATCAAAAGTTTTAGAATGGATTCATTGTCTTTATCCTTAAGTTTTTGTTTTCATTCAAAACATTTACTTGAAAATCATAAAGTTGTCAAAAATATCTGGAATATTAGAAACTTTAATTTCCGTGAAAGCATGGAATAAAGTTGTGTTTATACAATAAAAATATATAAAATCTTTAAGTTCATTCTTCAATCATGAAAATGAAATGAAATTAATAGCACAAATATTTATGCAATGGTTGATATCTTTTGTTCAATGATTAAAGATAAAAAAAAATTATTTTTTGTATCTAATAGGAAAAGTAAATTGCATTGGAAATTTGCACGTAATAATAACGCACATCTGAAAGTTTTGCTTGTCCCCTCCAATTGATAGGGATTAAAACACAAATATGATAAAAGAGCGTAGTGATAATATTGGCATTAAAAGCACATCTTGTTAAGATGGAAAATTTCACTTTATTAACACTATTAAATTTCACAAATTCTAGATAAAAATACTTTAGTCAGAGATTGTATATTTAGACCAGTGTTTTTCAACCTTCTTGAATATGCAACCCCTTTACAAGTTAAAAAATTTTGGCAACCCCCACGGCCATATTAAAACTATGTCAGTGATTTTAAAAACTACATATTTAATTTTATTTCTGTTGAGATTTAATTATCGATCAAAAAACTAATTGTACTGTAAAATAAACAGGCACAGTCTCCTCACTGAAACTGTAGTTTTATTGTAGTGTAGCACCTACAAACACTTGTCTTTTTCTTTTACCCGCAAACCACAGGTTGAAAAACACTGATTTAGACAAATAATTTTCAATATTGCTATAAATTTATTAACAAAAACAGTAGGTAAAAATTGACATTTTTGTTCAAAAATTTTTAAGATAAATAAAATAGATTTATCATGGCTTTTTAAATCATAAAAATAACTTCCATTTGTAATACATCCCAAGCACTTCTGGACTAATCATCATCAGGGGATTGTGTTACAAAAAAACAGAACACTGACACTAAATTTTTATGTTGTCACTTGGTGTGAAATATTTAAAACGTAGATTAAACACTTGGATTCATTCANTATCGATCAAAAAACTAATTGTACTGTAAAATAAACAGGCACAGCCTCCTCACTGAAATTGTAGTTTTATTGTAGTGTAGCACCTACAAACACTTGTCTTTTTCTTTTACCTGCAAACCACAGGTTGAAAAACACTGATTTAGACAAATAATTTTCAATATTGCTATAAATTTATTAACAAAAACAGTAAGTAAAAATTGAAATTTTTGTTCAAAAATTTTTAAGATAAATAAAATAGATTTATTATGGCTTTTTAAGTCATAAAAATAACTTCCATTTGTAATACATCCCAAGCACTTCTGGACTAATCATCATCAGGGGATTGTGTTACAAAAAAACAGAACACTGACACTAAATTTTTATGTTGTCACTTGGTGTGAAATATTTAAAACGTAGATTAAACACTTGGATTCATTCAAGATTTATGACAATTACTATTTGTTTTTCTTCTTTAAATTATTTTACAAATACGGAACATGTGGTTATTTTTAGTAAAAAAAAAAGTATCAATAACATTTTAATAAAACCAAGCAAAAAAATAGTAATACATGCCAAATTTTATTGATTTTTCTGACAACCACTTAAAAGGGATTTTTAGATGATTGGAAAGTTTGTTTAATTCTGACACTTACTCAGAAGCTTGTTAGCAAATTCTTTTATTTATACAGGATGTATCTAAATTGGTGTCCATAAATGTTCCTGATGTGTTCCTGACACCAAAACATTGCAAAAAGTTCATATGAACATGGGTCCAAAAATCCTTTGTTAGGGAGTTATAGGGTTTATTGCTAATGATACTTGCGAAGGCATTTAACAACAATGATTTACAAAAGTTGCTCAGTGACCTCTTCCTGCTCTGATGCATTCCCCGAGGCTGCATTCCATGCTTTGCTATACTCTGTTTAAAATTCCTGGAGTGTTTTGAATTTGGTCTAAACCATTTTGGATACACTCCCTCAGAACATTGACATTAGGTACAGGAGTTGAATACACCAAGGATTTTAAATGTCTCCAGAGATAAAAATCCATTGGATTCAAATCTGGCAATCGGGCAGGTCATGCAATGGATCCCCATGACCAATCCATCTGTTCGGAAACTGGTTATAATCAGGGGTTACTACAAGGAATTCCTTTCATAACTTCCTAATATAGGATTTTCGGATCCATGTTCATATGAACTTTTTGTAATGTTTTGGTGTCAGGAACACATCCCTACATTTATGGACACCTATTTAGATGCACCCTGTATGCATTTCAGTTTGGTTTCTTGCTGATCTCTCTTCAGTCTACAAATAATAAGCCAGCTTGTAAAATACAATCTTTGATTTAAAATACAAAAATTAAACTCAAATTTAAAAACTTACAAAAATACATGTAATCCACAATAGAAACCATACTGTTTTTCATTTTTCCTTCTATCAATCGTTGGTATTTCTTCCTGCATCATGTAAATTTCACTTTTATTCATATATATGACATTGCAAACATCAATTAACATTCTGCTATTCAAATTGATCAGACTAACACTATTCTTAATCGCAATATGTTCCTTAAATTTGCATAAATACGTCTTGTTCTACGAATAAGATTTTAAGATTAGTTTTATAAATCATACAAATTTGTACAATTGAAATTGCAAAAAAAAAGAGGAAAACTTTATGCTGATTTTGTAGACTTTAGATCTGCTTTTGATACCATAGAGACCATAAAACTTTATAATTAATTAGAAAGAATGGGTATGAATAAACAGTTTCATGGCCTTATAACTGACATACTCCAAAACCACTGTAAGAGTAAAGATTTTAGCCAAACAACTGATTTGTTTGGTATTGACATTGGAGTTTGGCAGGGTGAGATTCTGAGCCCACAGCTTTTTTAATTTATATGTTAATGGTGTGATAGTGCAACTTCTCTCTGTGATTGAGTTGAGTTACATGTACAATACTAATGTATGCTCACAACACACTAATCCTTGCTGATACTACTCAAATGTTACAAAAGAAAAATCACAATTCTAGAGGAATTCCATTGTGACTATGGATTAACTATAAATGTCCCAAAAGCAAAAGTGATGGTGTTGAAGAAGGGTGACTATTATATTTCATATTTTCTGCAAATATTACATTATTCTTTTTTCACTTGTAGATCAGCCTAGCAGGATCTATAGCCAAGTGATAACTCGTGCAGCAAAAGTATGGGCGACCTTTCTGGATAACATTCTGAAGGTGAAAGCATTAAAAATATAGGAGCACTCAAGTTATAATAAATATTTTATTCAAAATTATTATTTTTATTTGCAGATTGGACAGATGCAATTACTACGAAAATTGATTGCTCACGAATTAAACACGTCTGGAAAATTTGATTCAAAGAATTTAATCAGTGCTTTGCAAACAATGAATGAGTGATTATTCCTTTAAATTGTATATATCTGTATTTTTGTAAAGCAATTCAATAATTTTATATTTTGTTTCTTAGTTCGCTGTTAGCTGACATCGAAGCTCATTATAAGGATCCTTCCAAACCTTATCCGAATGATAATAATCCGCTCATGTACGAGTTGTCGAATTATTTAGAATGGACGGGAATATCCAATCCCTTGGCAAAAGTAATTTAAATAACTAGAGCAAATTTTTTTATAAATTACAATTTCTTAAATTATTTAAATATGATTTATTTTGACAGATTTACATTACTACAGGACCTCTGCCACACATTCCTTTATTCCTCTTTTTATTTACTATTTTTCATTTGTCTAAATTGAATTATGTCAAAAATATAGGTAAGAAATTATCTGAAGACCATTTTAAAAAATCTGATAATCACAAACAATAAATAATACGTTTTTCAGATGGTCTGATCAGTAAGAAGACCATCGAACCCATCGATGGTATTCCGTTTGTTATCGGAACATTAACGTTACTCCGTCAGTTCCATCAAGAAAAAACGGGACAGTTTTTGGCATATTTGGGACAGTACATTCGTTCGAATGTAGAGTCTGTTATTGGGTAAGTCCACCATTTTTGTTTTCTTTGGCTTACAGAATATCTACAGACGTTAATAGTTTCATTTTTGTCAAAAATACTGAAATTTAGCACACATATTAATTAGAAACTATGTAATTTAATATTGAAACTTTCACGAGAGAGCCGTTACAACCCCAGAGTTCTTTTGGGTTGCAACATATGAGCATTTGAGAAGTTCCTAGAAAATGTAAATAAGACACCAAATTCAATTTATTCTTGATTATTTAAATTGAACTTTATTTTTCAGCGTGTTCCATAATGTCATTCTTCTAACTCTTCCGGTAGAAATCTGTGCTTGTTGGTTCTAACCATAGCACTACACAATGTTTCGCTCGATCTATTGACTGTCAGAGCGATCCTTCAATGATTTTTTAAATTCAGGAATAAAAACAAAGTTTCGTGGGATTAAATCTGGACTGTAGGGAGGTTGCGGTAAAATCATTGATACTGACCTGGTAGATCTTGCAGAGTGAGCAGGTGCATTATTGTGACAAAACAAGATGCACCAATGGATTTTTCCCAGCTCTAAAAGAAAATGGTTTCATAATGGCTTGCAGTTATTCTCGTCTTCAAAAAAAAATAAATATAGCATTGCATTTACAAATAATAACCACTTTCAGGGAACTTTATTGAATGCTCCTCGTATATATAAATCTGCCAAATTTATACACTCTGATTTTCTAAAGTTCTGAATGTTTTTAGAGAGGGAAGTAAAGGAGGTGATTTTCCACAAGAAGTCCTTAACATCCTGGTGTATCTGGATGAATTTCAACAGCAAGGAAAATTGCCAAGAAAGGTTTGTACTTATTGGATTTCGTACTACATTAAAATAAGTTTTACAAAATCTTTTTCCTTTTAGGCTGTGACAAAATATATTCCCGATTATTTGTTTGACAAGTTCCACGTACAGTAAACTAACTGCAAAACAAATTGGTGATGTAAATTTTGTATATTTTATAGAAAGTTATTAAAAAACAAATTCTTGAAGATAACTCTGTATGCATTATTTTTTTTAGTGAAAATTTTTAATTAGGGGAATTTTTGCATTGACTTATCATCATCGGTACCCATTTAAATGACTGTAGGTCCAAAGTGGGAAATTACACTCTATGCTTAGGCATTTATCGTACTTGACAATGGCTTGGACTTTTTCCCTGCTCGCCAAAATCCTTTTCCTGGCCTACTGTGAAACCCTATAAAAACTGTAGACTACCATTCAGAACAAAAGGTGTCATTCCACTGCATGACAATGTGCAGTCCCACACTGCTGACATAACATGCAGCTTCTGCAAAGATTCAGACTGTATAGTGCATGCTGGAACAAATGTTCCAGCATGACATACATTTCAATAACGAAGGTAACCACCACCTCAGTTACCATTGAAAGTAAGCAGTAACGTATAGTAACATGTGAGATAAGAGATGTCCAGAGACAGGTCATCTACAAGGCACAAATTTTGCAAAAGAAATGACAATCCAGTCAAAGTATAAACAAACAAAAATTTTGCATTAAAATGTAAATTAAAGATTTACTACAAGTTTCCTTTTAAATACATGCTATTCGTAATGGTAACAATATTAATTTGTTGACTTTTTGAAACAGAAAGTAGCTATCAGAATAAATCAATAGTAATTCAAACACAAATAATTATCGTATTTATTTTCAGGCACTTGGCAATTCTTATCATCAAGTTTTTATTCAGTTGATACATTACTACGAAAATTGATTGCTCACGAATTAAACACGTCTGGAAAATTTGATTCAAAGAATTTAATCAGTGCTTTGCAAACAATGAATGAGTGATTATTCCTTTAAATTGTATATATGTGTATTTTTGTAAAGCAATTCAATAATTTTATATTTTGTTTCTTAGTTCGCTGTTAGCTGACATCGAAGCTCATTATAAGGATCCTTCCAAACCTTATCCGAATGATAATAATCCGCTCATGTACGAGTTGTCGAATTATTTAGAATGGACGGGAATATCCAATCCCTTGGCAAAAGTAATTTAAATAACTAGAGCAAATTTTTTTATAAATTACAATTTCTTAAATTATTTAAATATGATTTATTTTGACAGATTTACATTACTACAGGACCTCTGCCACACATTCCTTTATTCCTCTTTTTATTTACTATTTTTCATTTGTCTAAATTGAATTATGTCAAAAATATAGGTAAGAAATTATCTGAAGACCATTTTAAAAAATCTGATAATCACAAACAATAAATAATACGTTTTTCAGATGGTCTGATCAGTAAGAAGACCATCGAACCCATCGATGGTATTCCGTTTGTTATCGGAACATTAACGTTACTCCGTCAGTTCCATCAAGAAAAAACGGGACAGTTTTTGGCATATTTGGGACAGTACATTCGTTCGAATGTAGAGTCTGTTATTGGGTAAGTCCACCATTTTTGTTTTCTTTGGCTTACAGAATATCTACAGACGTTAATAGTTTCATTTTTGTCAAAAATACTGAAATTTAGCACACATATTAATTAGAAACTATGTAATTTAATATTGAAACTTTCACGAGAGAGCCGTTACAACCCCAGAGTTCTTTTGGGTTGCAACATATGAGCATTTGAGAAGTTCCTAGAAAATGTAAATAAGACACCAAATTCAATTTATTCTTGATTATTTAAATTGAACTTTATTTTTCAGCGTGTTCCATAATGTCATTCTTCTAACTCTTCCGGTAGAAATCTGTGCTTGTTGGTTCTAACCATAGCACTACACAATGTTTCGCTCGATCTATTGACTGTCAGAGCGATCCTTCAATGATTTTTTAAATTCAGGAATAAAAACAAAGTTTCGTGGGATTAAATCTGGACTGTAGGGAGGTTGCGGTAAAATCATTGATACTGACCTGGTAGATCTTGCAGAGTGAGCAGGTGCATTATTGTGACAAAACAAGATGCACCAATGGATTTTTCCCAGCTCTAAAAGAAAATGGTTTCATAATGGCTTGCAGTTATTCTCGTCTTCAAAAAAAAATAAATATAGCATTGCATTTACAAATAATAACCACTTTCAGGGAACTTTATTGAATGCTCCTCGTATATATAAATCTGCCAAATTTATACACTCTGATTTTCTAAAGTTCTGAATGTTTTTAGAGAGGGAAGTAAAGGAGGTGATTTTCCACAAGAAGTCCTTAACATCCTGGTGTATCTGGATGAATTTCAACAGCAAGGAAAATTGCCAAGAAAGGTTTGTACTTATTGGATTTCGTACTACATTAAAATAAGTTTTACAAAATCTTTTTCCTTTTAGGCTGTGACAAAATATATTCCCGATTATTTGTTTGACAAGTTCCACGTACAGTAAACTAACTGCAAAACAAATTGGTGATGTAAATTTTGTATATTTTATAGAAAGTTATTAAAAAACAAATTCTNGAGTTATTTTTACCGTTGTTTACGGATAATGCCACAATTTTTATAGGAATCATAACTATAGGAAACGGTTTTATAGGGGGATCTACTGTACATATCTACCATTCTTTGTTTGATATCATTTGATAATTGTATTCCTCCAGACAACATTGTTTATTCAATGGAATGTAAATGTGATGCTTCTGAACCAGAGCGTCTGATCACTGGATCAGCAGCTCTGGTTACACCACAAAATACTAATATTTTGTCCTAAAAATACTGAACAAATCTGCATACTTCCTTTGGTAACTCTACTTTTGTCACAGTGTAAAATATAAAAACTTTGTTGTTGTCGAAACCGTGTTGTATTTATGTATTGTATACTGGCACAATGAAGTGACTTTTCTTCAACACTGGGCAAGTTTCAATCTTTATTCAGTTAGGTTAGGTTATAAAAACTTTGTTTTTTCTTTTGTAAATCAGATTTAAAATAAAATCCATTTGATTCAATTGAGTATTTTTGACTAATTTTTTGTGCTCTTTTCTACTATCACAATATTAATTATGTAAACAAAATAGCAGTCGCATGTTTTAAAAATATGTCAAGGGTAGCTCTACTTTTGGACACTACTGTATATCAACAATGCAAGAATGAAACACTTTGCTGCTTTTGCTGATGCAAAGGAGAGAAATGGCAACACTTCTCATTTGAATCCAGTCAATTTTCTTGTTCAAATGTTGAAAATGTAGTCAAATGACAGACAAAAAAGAATTTAATTTAATAATGCTAATAGTCCTATGCTTGTAACAAAACTATAAGCAATTCCCAACAGTAATTAATCAAACATTACTTACACGAACAAGATAATTTTAATAAATGTTTAAAAATCTTAAAATACTTTTGTCCTGTTTTATTAAATAACTTAAGTGTTGTTTCTCTCCCCCAACTTCCAAGGTAATTAAAGAACATCCAGTTTTTTTTTAATAAACAAAAATTTGAGAAAGATACATTTTATTTCCCAAAGAAAAAGACTAACCAGTACAAAATTTTTGGCAGCACAGCTCGAGTTTTATATTTCAACCCTTATATATGAAACAAGAATTATCAGGTAATTTGTAACGAAGCCAACCTATACAAAGGTGCAGGCTGAGAGAGAGAGAGAGACAATCTGAACAAGCAATTATTTATTTTAACATCATCACAATGCTGGGCTGCAAATTTGATCATATTTTTAATTTAAAATATATTCTATCCACCTCAAATTAGCAGTGTCTTGCCCCTGTACATCATACTATTTCTGCTAGCAATAGAGTCGTGCTGGTAATTAACTCCTTACAAGGAAAATTTTTTTCAATTGACATAACATGACTTCTGGTGTAAACTGGAAATTCGTATATTGCTAGTTAATAAAGGATTCCTGACCCTAAGCTTTCCATATTTGATCTCGAGATTAAGGAAGGACAGACACAGATGGATGACTAGGAATTTATACATCTACAATTTTTTCAATATCTCCTGACTTGATGTAGACATATTTACACCAAACTACTAATGAAAATTTGGGATCTGAACCAAGATCTTTGAGCGCATGGAAAATTAGCTGGAACCTTTGACACCCTGAAAATGATTTTCAAGGTCACTTACTGATTCTCCTTGCACAACTACATTATATATTTCTATATAAACAGTCAAACCTTGGTTTTCAAACAGAATTTCCAATAATAATTGCACCAGTTGTTGAACGACCTCGGCAAGAGCCGGCCAGATTTGACACACATAGATGGTCAACTCTCTATATTAAAGAAAGTCGACAGTCCGACCAATCAACGCCAGGACTACCGATTCAGAAGTTAGTTGTGCAAAGATCACCTGGTGTCATTAGATATCATTATTTAAGATAGTATCTTTCTTTCCCACACATGCATTGAAATCTATTTTTGTTTTTTTTTGGTACTTGCTGCAGTCGAATCTACATCAAATTTAATGAAAATCTCATTAATTGATTGATATTCATGTAATATTTAAACACAAGAATTTGTCTTTTAAAATATGCTTACCAAGGTTTGATTATACATACATTCATCAATTTTTCTAACTTTTAGAACGAAAAGGAAGTGCAAGGGACTTAATTTATTCTGTATGATCAGGAGTTGCACTGGAAAATTTTTTAAAAATCACCAACCATTCTGCCAGTTTCAAATTTTTTTCATCACTTCAAATTATTTATCACCATCAATTTTACTTATTAATGCAGGTGCTTATCAGTTTGGAGTCTGGAAATCAAAAATAACATGTTAAACTCACTTAGAAATTGGAATACATTTTTTAATGAATAAAACCAAACAGATTTGATCACAGTGCTTAAACAGTAATTCACAGGTTCTGTCATGTAAAAATCTTTACGTTTAGTCTATTGAAAAATGATCAAAGTGAAAAAAATGTCACCCCCAAAACTCTCAAATCTGGAAATGGGCAGCATTGCATGAAACTGTTAGTTCTCAATGTCACTTCCTGCTTTCCTATCCGAACTTGCTGGGCGATGCATGAGACTGATCGCACCGGAATACGACATTCTGTTGTTTTTCCCAACGCATGCTTTTATTAAATCACACCAATTATCACTCACTATGCAACATGACACGATGTTAAATACACAAATTCAAATCAAATATTTATGAAGTTTTGAATATCAATTTTGGTGAGAGTATTTAATGTATGATTTATGTATACATTAAATAAGACCAACTTACTTTCAATAATAATAGCTCAAGTTTTATTTTTCATTTAATAGCTATAATTATTAAACATATTGGAGGAAAAAATATATATATTTAATCTTATACAAGATTAAATAACACTAAGAAAAAAAAAATTACATAGGAATGAAAAATTAGATGAATTTCATTTCATCAACTGACAAATAATGTGAAACATTGCACATGATTTATTGGATTGTGGTAGAAGCTGGTTCTTTCGAAATGTTTTCAATAGAAATCACAGATACATCACATATCAATGTGCTAATACTGTATTGCTATACTGTTACCTTTTTTTTTCCAGTTAATTGCATTTATACAATTTTGTTTTATCACAATTTGCTTCACGTTTCTCACATACTACATAATATATTTTATACAACTCACAATTAACGAACAAAAGTCAAAGAATTATATTTAAACATTAATTACGCTCTTAATAAATTTGGAACAATGCAAAACAAAAATGTTTTTTTTTTTTTTTGGCAAGCTTAGTAATTTTTCATTTGTGTTTTTTAGTAAATGTATTCAAAATTTTGAAATATATGAGTACGTATGGATATATATAAGTATTTTCTTTCGGCATTAATCGAAAATTCTACAAAATACAATTGTGTAAACAATTTATCTTGTATTAATCTGATAAAATTTTGTAAGTAACAAAATTTTGCTCCGTAAAGATTTGTTCGACCAAAATGTCATTATTATTTACATATCAAATGTTACTTTTTCTGTTTTTTGCATAATGTTTATTTCCTCGATAAAAATTCGTGGGGTGTGTAAACATGTTTGCATATCTGTTCTGGGACAGTGTAAATACATCATCTGGTGAAATTTTGCATTGAATTTTATATATTATTTGACAAAATTGTCAAGGTGTGGAAAATTTTGAAATCTGGAATAACTCTATTTTTAAAACTATTACTGAAATACGGCCCTACTTCCTAACAAATCATATAAACACAAACAAAATTACCTATGAGAACTCGATTAACAATTCTGCATATTTTATAGAATATTTTTTTACATATTTTATATAGTTATGAATGACTAAAACAAAAGCTTCTTGCAAGATGACAGACAACCATAACAGGAACTGAAGCAGATTTGAGAGATCAATAAGGTAACAATGCTGCCAACTTCGTGTCTTAGCATTGTAGAAGTATCATTTCGATAAGTGTGGTGCAGAAGTTATTTACTCCAGCTTTATTAATTCGACGTCGAATGTCAATTTGGCATTTGGAGGAATTGTAAGAATAGTTAAAGAATTTTTATTAGATATTATTTAACATAGAGGATATTAAAGAAAGCAATCAGCATTTGTATGGTACACACCATCCTAAGTAAAAAAAAACCTTACTAATTGGTTAACTTCAAATTTTTGAGAGTATTCTTAACTATGTTTATACAAAAGTCTCTCTTTTTTCTCAGTATGATGTGTATATTTTAACAAATCCTGGATGTTTTCTATACTATTATCCAGTTATGTACAGTTATAACTGGATAATTTTAATTTTTAATATTCTACTTAAAAACAAAATATGGCTTTATTTTTTATCATTAAAATTACGTTCTAAGGCAAAAAATGAACTAAAACAAGATATACAAAAAATTAAGATACTTAGTTAATAATGGAGAAATGTTTTTGAGATACATTAAAGTATTTATGAAATTTCACAATCATATGAATAGTTAAACAATCAAACATTTATATTATATATAAATGTTTGATTTGAAAATAATAGTAATAATAATGATAATTAAAAGTGTTTTTGGGAAATACCCGGCATTCATGATTTTTGATTTCATTCATTTGAATTAAAAACTTAACAACCTCAGCACAGATTACACCAGTAATCAAACAAAGTTTACTTGTAAGGAGTAAACTTGGCTGTATCATTAGTCGGCTGTGGTTGTTACTACAGTGTGCATTATGTACAGCTTTAAAATAATAATAATAATAAAAAAATATTAAAACTCAGTAGTAGCAAGTTCACAGTTATTGCAAGAAAATATCCATTTTGTTATCAGTTAAGATAGTTTCTTGTAAATATTCAGTTATGTTGAATAAATTTTTGTCCTATCTAATACTTACAAGGGGACCTTACGGTCTCGGAAATTCAGTTCGGGATGAGACTTTGCAGGTTAATAGTATACCTCAAGGGTGTCCACCCAGAAGAATTGTAAAGTGCACTAGCAACAAGATTCCAAGAAAAAAGGCTCTAAAGTTTTAAGCACAGCTCATATACCGATCGATTTTACGCTATTGTAGCACAGCGAAATGGCTGAGCCTGTAGCGAACTCACTTGCTACGTGGACGATCTAGGTTCGGATTCTACCTTTGGCTAACTTTTTTTTTTTTTTACATTATTTAAAAGTTGTTACAATTTTTAAAACAAAGTTAATGACCTAAAAATATTATCAATTAAATCATAAATAACTGTCAACTTTTACACCTGGGAGCTAATTATTCCATGAGTTTTCACAAGTCAGCAGCAAAATTGGCACTTTCACATAACTTTCCCACCTATCCTCTTACCGTTGAAAATAACAAGTAACTGAAAAATTCTTCAAATTTAAAACGAATATTTTTAACCTCTCCATAGTTTAAAATATTTTTAAAAAGTTGAATAATTTCAAATGCATTTCTAATGGAGGTAAATTAAAACTTTAATTTTAATTTAAAATTTTAAGATATTTTAAGCTGTGGAGAGGTTAAAAATATTCGTTTTAAATTTGAAGAATTTTTCAATTCCTTGTTATTTTCAACCCATGAACTTAAGACGATAGGTCTGGAAAGTTATGTGAAAGTGCCACTTTTGCTGCTGACTTATGAAAACTCACGGAATAATCAGCTCCCAGGTGTAAAAGTTGACAGTTATTTATGATTTAATTGATAATATTTTTAGGTCATTAACTTTATTTATAAGTTGTTACAATTTTTAAAACAATGTAAAAGAAAAAGTTAGCCGAAGATAGAATCGAACCTAGATCGTCCGCGTGGCAAGCGAGTTCGCTACAGGCTCAGCCATTTCATTGTGCTACAATACTGTAAAATCGATCGGTATATGAGCTGCGCTTAAAACTTTAAGAGCCTTTTTTCTTGGAATCTTGTTGCTAGTGCGCTTTACAATTCTTCTGGGTGGACACCCTTGAGGTATACTATTAACCTGCAAAGTCTCATCCTGAAATGAATTTCCGAGACCGTAAGGTCCCCTTGTTAGAGTGAGAAAATCATCATATGAGTGAACTTTCTATTAAGTTGTTGAAACTATGTTAAGTGTTTTCAATTCCCTTTTACATTTATCCTTTAGTTTACTGTCTTCTTTCATGATAAACATATCATCATCATCAAATAGTTGATGTTAAAGAAAATGTCTCTTCATGTGTAAAAAACTGAAATTATTTAAGAATTACAGTTACATTAAAAATGTGGAAGTGTGCAGAAAATTTGGATGATCATCTTTGATGATATCCACACTAGAAAAATAAAGATACCCATTTAAATGCATGGCAAATCTCAGATAATAAAAAAATTTAGAAATGCATTCTTTTGGATGTCCACAAAGCGTAAACACCTTTAAGTAAACTTGCTAGAAAAATATTTAACATTTTAAAATCCTTTTTATAGGTCTGCATCAAGTTTAAGATATAAACTAGAAGATTCAAATTAAAAGTTCTAATTAACATTCTTACAGCATCTTTTAAAAAATTAAAATATTTCAATTTTTTTAAAGATGTATATAATGAATGACAGTTATGAAGAACTAATAAACTTAGTTTCTTTGTGCTTGTTATAACCAAGTATGACTATTTCCCAAATATACTTTATTACTACTTTAAAATAAACTTTAAATTTTAAAAAGGATATATTCCAGGATGTCCAACAGAGCCATAAGCAAAATCTGGAGAACACACCAATTTTGCTCTTTGCCCAACACTCATCTACAAAAAAATATATATTTATTTATATACACATTACTAAATTTTTAAGGTAAATTTCAACTAATTTTTTATAATTTATACTTGAGCCACTCCAAGATCCCATCCTTTAATCACTTCTCCTCTTCCTATTCTGAATTTAAATGGTTTTCCACGATCTCTTGAGGAATCAAATTTTTGGCCATCTTCTAATGTTCCTAATTAAATTATAACAAAAAATTTACATTAATTATTACTGAAAATTGTGCATCATTAAAACTGAAAATTCAAACACACCAAAAAATATACAATGTGTTATAATTAATCTTTTTTTGTATGCATGCTTTAACTGAGATTTGAATAAAGCCTATGTAAGCTTTATCCTTGAATAAAGTCATTAATCCTAGCTTTATCAAAATTTGTGGGCTTTAGCCATGATCATAATATGTATTGAAAAAAAATAAAAATTATGTTTTTAACAAAGAATATTTGAATAATAAAATAATTTTCAAGAAAGTTATTTGAAGATCAAGTTTTATTTATATTTTTCTACTGACAGAATAGTTAATATACAATTATCAAGAGATTTCAGATGTCAGCCTGAAAATTAGAATCATTGCACTCTTCTGCTGCTGCAGACTGATGTATCTTTCCACGGTCCATTGAGGACAACAGTATTTACTGGAGTCTTGTGACCTGAATATTTCAGGTAACACAGACTGGATGTCTAAGGAAAATAGGATATGGCTATATTTATTATTTTGATTATCTACACTATCAAACAACATTACCATCATGTGTGTGTTAGATCATGTCATCATCATCAGAATAAGAAAAATATTGTCTGTAACAAAATTTGCACTAAGTAGCAGAAACCTTTGAATGCCCATCAAATTGTTATTCATGCTTGCAGTATGAGATGGCAATGAAAATTTTGCTTTGACACAATGTTGAAATTGTAAAATTCTGTTTTCAACAGAATTAATTGGGTAGGAATTCCTGCCTGATTAATCCAGCTGTTGGTTGATAATATACAGTATATTGGGTTATTGAGATGATTCTGTTTTCCTTGACTTTTCTCTGCAAGCAAACTTCAATGATATTTTCCAATTTCCCAGGTCATTTGCCACCTTGGTACTGTAAAAAAATATTTTTAATCAACTGAAAGTCTAAATTTAACATTAAAAATGCCTTCAAAGTTTGAAAGTTTCAATCTCAAGTTCTAATCAGTTTGTTTTGAAGAAAGTTCTCTTGAAGGGCTGGCCAAATTCTATTATCACTTGCAGTTATGCTTCAGATCAACATGGATATATTCAAAGCAATGCTTTGTGTTTTCTAAGTCAAAATGATATATATAAACTTTCAAACAAAGCTTCCGTTAAATAAAATATTATCCTTGGGAAGTTTCATATAATACAGACTCATTGGCAATATTCCATTTGTACAAAAGTTATTTAAGAATATTTACTCTTCCTACATTCGTTTAAAAAAATGTTTTTAATCAACTAAAGAAGTGATTTGTTTTGATATATTTGTTAAAAATTTTATTGTATTTGTTTTTCTGTTATTTACAATATAAATATTAAAAAAAAACTTATTTTTCTTACCAGTATAATGTACCACTACTGTTTGTCCAGCCTTTGGAAAAGTTTGTCCTAAAAAATAAATTTCAGTTTTATATATTGTTTTTAATAAATAAACTTTAGTTTTAAAAAATTTTAAACTATATTTATTGGATATTTTTACATTACTCAAATAACAATAATAAATGAACAGATACAGCACACTTGCTAACTCAAACATCTTCATGTTTTATATGGTTAGATCACAAGTCTCCACAAGTATACAATAAATCATTATAAAAACAACATTTTAATATGAATATAATAGAAATGAGGCTTTATTTTTTATAAATTTTAAACTATATTTATTGGATATTTTTACATTACTCAAATAACAATAATAAATGAACAGATACAGCACACTTGCTAACTCAAACATCTTCATGTTTTATATGGTTAGATCACAAGTCTCCACAAGTATACAATAAAGTGTAAGTTAAAGATTTTGAATATAAACTTCAATTCAGCATAGGAGAAGCAAATTTACTAAAAGGATGTTTTACTGTTTGACCAAAAGCTTTGTTAATGCTTATCACAAAATATAACCTGAAAGGGAACAGTGGTCTTTCAAAGCAAAGTGAGATTCATGAATAATGTATATAACTTTTATTCTGTATACTCTATACCGAATCTCATAGCTTGCAATATATGAAAGTAGATATGGTAATTTAAACATCACAAGCTCTGGAATTCTATTTAAATACACTGTGTTCCCAACCTTCTTTGTTTCTCAATCTCTATTTGAACAGATTTAATTTGCCAATCCCATTTCTAAATTGATAATACAAATAAGATAAAATTAAAAATGTAGTCTATGAAATATAAATCAAAACTATGCTTTAGTTACTAAAATTTGAATTGTATCAGTTACTTTTACATTTTTTTTTTTTTTTATTATACTCAAAATTATAATGAAAATAATACTATAACTTGCCAACCAACCCTCAAATAACTCCTAATAACTAATCAATTCCCCTGAATAAATTGACTAACTCCTAAAGAAAGATTACTAGCGACTAGGTAAGGAATCCCCACAATAAACCATTTCTCGGTGATAAAGCTCTGGATAAAGTCAGTGAGTACATGTAAAGTTTAAAAGCATTTCTTTATATTTTAAAAATATTTATTTGATAACACAAAATTAATGAATATGAATATTAATTTGTAAATCTGAAATGTGAGGACTTAAATGATTTGCAGTTCTGGCATTATAGTTACTACATACAGATATTATATATATTTATTAGTTAAATTTTAATAGTATTAAAAATTTTCATTCATGACGATATTATATAATAACACAAATTTTGATAACAACTAATGATAAATATATGGCTATGATATCATATCAATATAGTTATCACACAGACTTCAAAAATGTTATCTTAGTCTGAGACGATTATTTCTAACATCTGTTTTCTGATAACCAACTTTTGAAGTGTATAATCAATTATTTATAGCAACACTGCAGGGAAGCCAATGAATTCCAATATAAATATAGGTATTTTTAAAAAAATGTAATTAGAAAACAAAAAGAATATCATTACATCAAAAAACATAAGTTACTGCATTTTAACATAAGACATTTCACAATAAGATTAAGTAAATAGATTGAATTAAAAATTCAGAAGTTAATAAATAAATGTGCTTTTAATTTCTAAATTATAACTAGATTTGTTTATTTATCTTTACTATTTATTAATAGCTTCTTGATAAAGAGCACCGAGTTCAGCGTTAATACGATTTTTCTTATATCGCAAGTACTTTCGACGAGTATTATATCGTCGTCCTCAGGCGAAAAAAAAAAACAAATTTGAAAATTAGAACATGCAGAGTGTTCCAAGTAGAAAACGGAAAATTTTTCTTGTCAATTTCTAAATTATAACAATCGGTAATTCCGTTGGTCACGTGCAACAAGCTTTTGCGGGCATTCGAAATATCTTAAATCCACACGACTAGCCGCGCATGCGTTGAGGAGCGATCGTACTAATTGTGCGACTCTTGGCACTTTTTGCTGTTTAAACGCTGGTATAAAGTAACCCATATTTCGGTCAAGTCGAGTGTGGGGATGTTGCATGCATCTGTGGTCATTGTAAGGAGCGCTTTCCAAATAAATGTAATTCTTCTGTTGTTACAGCTCCTGAGCAACGCTGTTTTTGACCATAATGGGTTATAGCCCTGCTGTAGAACTTTTCTGGCGAGCTCTGTGGTCTGTCTTCCTTTGTTTATATCATCCTGATGTTCTGCGATATGGCAAGCGAGCATTCTTGTCGTTGCCCCTATATACTTCTCAATTGTCCACGTTACTGGATTTTCCAGTTGCACTGCGTATATTCCCAATTTTTCTAAAACGTCGACTTTATCCCGATCATTGCATATACTCCTGCATAGGTTGGGTAGGGGAGTTAAAGGAAGAGTAAAGCTGTATCGCCGGAAAATACGGCTAATAAGTATGGACAGTGCTCCTAGGTACAGCAGCACTGATTATACTCTAGACATTTCTTTTTTGCTATGTAGTGTGGTATTAATACTTAATTTCTGAAAGTTTCATTTTATCATCTTGGCAGAATATTTTATTTCGCTCAAATTGTATGTACTTTTAATTTAAGAAACCATATTTACAAAACAGATAAAATTTCTCCACTAATATGCTTATATTTTTACAAACTTATAAAGAATAGTGCTAAAGATGAAAATTATAGAATTGAATAACATGGAAATAAATGATCAGTATGTTTGTAAAGACAATTGCTTTAACATTATAAAGACGTAAAAAAGTTATCAACTGCTACTTTACAACTGGTTAATATTAAAGAAAAACAAACACTTCAACAACCTAATGAACCAGTGATAAAATTACATACAAAGTGCAAATGTTTTCACCAGTGTTAATTAAACGGGCATCGTCAGGCAACAAAACTGCTGTGAAGATAGAGGGGACTGCCGAACATGTGTGTAGGGGAAGGGGTGTACGACGTAAGAAGAGAGAGAAAGGAGGGTTTATGTTTTGTTGCCTGACGATGCCTGTTTAACACTGGTGAAAACATTCACACTTTGTTTATAATTTTATCACTGGTTCATTAGGTTGTTCAGTGTTTGTTTTTGTCTGAAAAAGTTATTCCAATGGAGACTAAAATTCTCCTTTTTATTAAATTTTAAATGTTAAACAAGGAACTTTTACAAATTTATAAAACTAGAAATTTGCACTGCTTTTTCAGGTAGCAAATGTTTCGTTATACATATAACATGATGCTTAAAAGACCCAGACACCAACGAATCCTGAATCTAAGAGCTCCATCTATTGGCTCAGATGGCTCCAATTACAAAGAAAATTATACTTAGGATACATTATCATGCTTGTAGGTAAGACTGGATGACTTGTGACATCTCTTGCTGAGAATACTTACTAAGGATTGCATTACTACGTATGCAACAGATGTTGCTGTATACCCAATACATTTTCCTCATTTGGAAACTTTTAGTGATCTATGTAGGGGCAGGTCCAACTACTGGCCAGCACACTGGTGAGCTGAATGTGATCTCTGACTACATGCTAGAAAGCACCAAATCAAGCAAGCACTCAGTTACAGAGATCGTAGATTTCATATACAATCTCTGTAACTGATGGTGTATATGTTATGGACAAAGTGATTAATTGGGCATTATGAATAATGACCAAATAGGGCGGGCAGTGTGATAAATATTGATTCATTTATCAAATTGACCGGTCATTATGAATACTGCTATCACCTAGTCGGGCAAAGTGATAATAATAAGTTGAGGCATGATCATCCAACATACGCTAGCCAATCAGCACTCTGAGTTGCGTGTGTGTTTAGTATAGATTTTTAAATTTGATTAAAAAAACCTCTACTTGATTCATTTAGAAATATATTTTTTTTAAATTATATCAAAGTACTATTAACTATATTAATTAAACTAATATTAACGAAAAGTATTATTAACAATTTTTGGTATAAATTATATTAAAAAATTACACATTTTTTAGTGACATTTGGAATTACATAATTTTTTTTCTTTGTAGCATTTGCATCTATTAGATTTGCAACCAATTTTGCAGCAGCATCGACTATAGCCTTGGCCTCCAGAAATTGATGACATTCTTGCACATTCTCTAAGCGAAATTTCTGCATCCAGTACATCTTCAACAGAAATGAAGTTTTCTTTACAAACAGTAAATTGGTTTCTGGAATATAATAGATTTAATATGCCATGTTTGTAAAGGTTTTTATCTTTAACTGCAACAACGACACCTAAAATATTTTTTCCATCACTGCAGGCTCGATCTACATCAGGTACACGAATCCTTACTGTATCACCAACATTAGCTGTTGTGTATTTCGAATTTGATGTATTAATCATTTTTTCTGCTTGCTTTTTAAGATTAAACAAAGCCATCTCCCTTGTTTTAGACACACTTCTTATTTTTTCTTCTATTTTTGGATCAACTGTTTGGATTATTTCTTCTTCTTCATTCACCAATTCTGTAATACTAATAACATCCTGGTTTAGATTTTTTTCACATGAAGGCGATGTAGATCTTTGAATTCATCAGTTATATTGCTATGTAAGGGTGGTATTATCAAATAATCTTTCATAATGTTTTCTTAGATGGTACCCGGACTTTCAGAGTTTGATCAACTTTGACTTACCTTGTCGATTGTTTTATAAAGTCTCTCTAGATCCTCTTCCGTATTAACGTTGATCAACGATTCGTTGGGTTTAAAATTCTTTAGTCCAACTTCTAATTTTGCTCCAAACATGGCCTCATAGGGGCTGCAGTTTATACCAGTATGATGCGCTCGATTTTTCATCAGTTGTACAAAATGTAATCCTTCCGACCATTTGTTAGTATTGTTAGTCTCCAACCAAGAACTAAGCATATTTTCTACGTCTTGATTACATCTTTCTACTGAACCCTGACTTTGTGAGTGCCTGGGCTTTCCATGCACCATTTTTAACTCAGACCATATATTACACATTTCTTTGATATTATTGACGAATTCTCTGCC